GCTCGGCAACTTGTATGGCAGAGCTAGGAAAAGGAAGCAAGCCTTCCAGCTGCTGATACAGTGCTTTGTCTACCATACCTCATTGTCTCAAGTCAAAAGAGAGTGTGGTTTGGGTTTGCCAAATATGCATTCATAGTATTTGGTGACCTACCTTTATTTAACTTATAGTTGCTTTTGGATGTAACAGTCTGGATCCATAAAAAAAAAAATTCCACATTTTAAATGCTGAATTATAGAGCTGTGCTATCCAGTATGATAGCTTTTAATCACTTACAGTGATTTAAACTTAAATTTTAATTAATTAAAATTAAATAAAATACAAGATTCAGTTCTTCAGTCACACTTGGTACATTCTGAGTGTTTGATAATCACATGTGGCTAGTGGCCAGGATAGATTACAGAACTTTTCCATCATCTCAAAAAGTTCTAAAAGTTCTATCAGACAGTGATGATATATAGTGTCATCTCCAGAGACAGAAGATTTTAGAAAGTCAGAAACATCTTCAGGCAGACATAGTGCTGCCATCTGTCCAATATTAAAGATATTTTAGGACTTAAAAAAAAAAAGATTAGAACAAAGAGGAGAAAGAGAGAGATGCCCTTAGTCACAGACGGATTCACCGAGAAAAAGGCAAAGGTGTTTATTCATAATGTAGCCATTATTTACATTTAGCTCTTGAAATCTTTAAGAGAGTAAAATAAATTGATACCTAGAGGATCTAAACCCCTGAAGAGTATCTGCAGCAGATGGAAAAAGAAATAGGATATGGTGATTAACATAATAATAAAAAAATAGGATAAAAAAATCACTTACTTACAAACTAAGTTTAAATTAGTAACAAAGTTTTGCAATTCATTTAAATGCTGCTAGTTACTCTCATACTTAGTAGTTATTTTTCTTTTGCCCCATATGTTATGACACAGTCTATATCTTTAAAAGAGAATAAAAATACTTCTGGGGACTTTTTAAATAAGCTCACACAGCCATATAAAAATTACAAAAACAGGTAAAAATATCTTCTCACTTATTTACAAATTCATTCAAATGGATTATATAAAAATTCAGGAGTCCACAGTGATACTCAAAAGAGCAAAAGCAAAGCCAAACAAATTCATGTGTCAACAGGGGAAGTGGCTATTTCACCAAATCCTGACTCTGAAAACTGGTAATTTAAAAAGAGAAAGAAATAGGGCGCCTGGGTGGCTCAGTTGGTTAAGCGACTGCCTTCGGCTCAGGTCATGATCCTGGAGTCCTGGGATCGAGTCCCACATCGGGCTCCCTGCTCAGCAGGGAGTCTGCTTCTCTCTCTGACCCTCTTCCCTCTCGTGCTCTCTATCTCTCATTCTCTCTCTCTCTTTGAAATAAATAAATAAAATCTTTTAAAAAAAAGGGAAAGAAATAAACATATATTCTGCTTTTCTAGAAGGAACTATATTACGGGAGAGCCCAATAGTGAGGAAAATGCCCAATTTTTAGAAAAATGCTAGCTGAAGCATGTAGATGGAATTAGAGGATTCAAAAATCATTTTGAAACTGCTAATGAAATAATCTACTCAAGCCAGGATGCTAAACAACTGAGTAAAGTTTGACTGGAACTAGATATTCATATGGTACAAACCTCGCCCCACAGGCTACTGGCCAGTTCCGAGGGGGAAAAGCCTGGAAAACAGAGGCAATCACCACAACAGCCCTATAATCATCTCAGTATCATGAACAACCGGTCATCCAGAGATTGTTTCCTGACACGAAACAACATGAATATACACCATCGCCTACAAAATAGTCTTGCAAAAAAAAAAAAAAAAAAAAATTTGTTGAGCCTGAATCTAATTAAGCCTTTAGAATCAATTTCTAGTTACACACACCCACACCCCCCCGCACACACACACAGACAGGGAATATAATGAAAAGTTAAATGACACCATTAAAAAAAAATCAGAAAATTTCAGAAATGGGGAGCAGAGGGGGGCATTCTACAAGACAACCAATCGACCCAGCCTCTTCAATAAGTCAATTTCATTAACAAAGAATAAAAATAAAGAGGGAGATATTTTCTAGGTTAAAGGAGATTTAAGATATAACCTAATGCAATATGTATTCCTTGATTAGAAGAAACTAGTTTGAAAAAACAGCGACAAAAGACATTTCAGAATAACTGAGGAAATCTGAATGTGGACTGGGTAGTAAATGAAGAAATCCTTTTTTATTTTGTTTGGGATGATAATGATATTGTAACTATCAAGAAAGTTATTCTTGGTTTTTAGAGATCCCTACTGAATTTAGGGATAAAATGTGTAAAATGTCATTTTTAAAATATACTTTAAAATACTTTAGCCCTCAAAAAAGATGAAACAAGTATAGGAAAAAGTTAACAGCCTAGTGTATGGGCACATGGATGTCATTTATCTATTCTCTCCACTTTTCTGAAAGTTTGAAATTTTCATAATTTTACAATAAAAAATTTTTTATCCCAAATTGTACAGGGTATATGTCTGGGAATCTCTTTCAAACTCTATGATATACTAAAACATAAGTAGTGCAGTTCATCATTTTGGAAATTTCAAACTTCTTTTCTCCTCTAGCAATTATATAATCAAAGAGCAACTATAGTTTGTTATATTAAACTGCTTAGTAAAATTAACTTTTTCTATCAAAACCAAGATTTTTCAGATACACAGAGGCAGCCTACCCACTCAGATTCAAGTCAGTTCAAAGAAAATAAATTCTATTTTTCTACTGTTTTTCTAGCCCATTTATGAATACCCAATGGGAAATCAAGAGGGGCAAAGTTTTTAGAATCAAAGGTCCTCATCCCTGAGTGTAACTCTACGGGCCAAGTCAGGAGACAAGTGCATTCCCATTAATTTGCCATCATTCAAGACCAATTTTGCTCACAGTAAACCCCTTTTCTCCTGAAGCCAGCCTTCTGATTGTTCACTTGCTTGAGCAAAAAGCCCTAAAGAAGATGAACAAAATGAGGAAAAGTCTGGTTAAAACTTGCTGCCTGAAACTTTGATAAATGTTGACCACTCCCTTCACCCATACCCACCCATTCTAGAAGTAATACTTTCAGATTATTGAAGAGATGGTGATTCTGGGTGGATTAGGACTTGTCATTGTGTCCTTGTAACAACCGTGGGGTTAAGCATGGCTCTATTTTAACCATTTATTAACATGCTAACTATCTCCTAAAATAAACTCCACCCTTAAAGTTAATAAAATGTAGTTACCAGAGAAGACTCATTGAAGTAACAAGTTGAAGAGTCTTCATGGGAACGTGTGCCAAGAAATAAGAAAGCATAATAATACCTTGCCCATGCAAATCGACAACTGTAGCTTCAAAAATATCCTCACCCACAATAAATAAGTGGATGTTTCTCTCAGTCGCTGGAAAAATTGGCCCAGGAAGGAGTATGAGGGCTGCCCCAGCTCTCCCAAGGCTCCTTATTCTCCATCACTCCACGGGAACAGCTTTGTCAGACAAGAGTAAAAGACCATTTGTCAACCTTTCTCCAACTCCCTGATTCAAGCCAACTTTTATCAATCCCAAGTAAGGAGCCAGAGAGAAATACAAGTCCTGTATCACCAGCTGCATCATCTGCTGGGGTTGGAAATCCCAGCTCCACCACCCATGTCACCCCTCGGCGCTTTTCTCCCAATTGCTTTTGGGTTATTTTATTTAGGGAAAAAAATCCACTTTCCCCACCCCTAAAACACTGAGAGAGGGGAATCAGAGTAGACAAACATGGAGCGTGAACAACACCAAAGACTGAAAAACAAAAAGAAAGAAAGGAAGGGAGAAAATTAAAAGGAGGGGCTCAGGAAGGAGAAAGGGAATCCACAAGCCAGACGGTTGTTTAGTTTCACTTTTTTTCAATGTTCGCACTCATTTATACATCTGTAGAGATTCCGCTTAAATGTACTATGTGTGGGGATCTGACTGTATGAACAAGGCTGAAATGACTCTTTCAGACATTTCTCACAAAGACCCCTGAAGTGAGGTCTCCCTCTTGCAGAAGTCCACAGAGGCTGTGGGGTTTGAGAAGGAGGACACAGGGGTACGGGTTGATGCCAGAAGGGGTTTCTAGTTGTAGGACAGAAAGGAAGGAGGGAGAAGGAGAAAAACCCAAGGTCTGCAGAGGTCGTGGGAGAAGAGAGAGGAACTGAGGATGAAAACTGAAAGGGAGAAGAGGTACAAAATGCTGTCAACCGCCAAAGAGCCTCTTGCAGAGAAGTTAGGAATTGCTTTAAGAAAGGCATGGCAAGTCTCATTTCAGATCATTGAGAGATAACACCTCCCCCAATACACACACACATACACACACACACACACACACACACACACCACTGAGAGCCCAGGCTGTATGCCATCAAAGTGATCTCCACCCCAGCTCTACCCCAATCAGATTAATAGTGAAGTAATTCCACTGGGTTAACGAACCATGTATATTAAAAATCTTTAGGGTCTACTCTTGCCAAACTTGTCAGGGATCCACACTGGAGTGTGTGTGTGTGTGTGTGTGTGTGTACGCACGCGTGTGTTTGAGACAACACTACTGTTAAATCTGGCAGAGCCAAAATTTAGGGGGTAAGAAGAGAACTGCAAATAGGGACACAGGAGAAAAAAGAAGGAAGGGGGTAACCACTATGTTGGTAGCTTAGGAAAGAAGTGGGGGGAGGGAGGGTAGTGAGTGCGGTCAGAATAGATAGTTTTAAAGGGTTGGGGAAGAGAAGGCCCAAAAGGAACGCGGGCAGGTGCGGGACGTGGGCAGAGAGCCGGGGAGGGCTCAGGGCGATGTGGCAGGTTCCCTCGAGGCGGAACCTTGAAGGCCTTTCGGGGACCCGGGAGGAGAGGACCTGGGAGAGCCAGGGGCCAGGGTGGCGGTGGGGGTGGGGATGGGGGTCGGGCGCGGGGCGGCAGGCTGGAGGTGGCAGGGCGGGGCCCGCAGACGGCGGCGGCGCGGCGGGAGGCGAGGGTCGGCCGGGGCAGGTCACTCACCCCGTTGGCCGCGGCCATCTGCACCACGATCTCGGTGGCCGTCCTGCTGAAGTACCTGCCGTCGCTGCCCACCACCATGGTGCAGCCCTGGCGGTCACGCAGGTCGATGGACGACAGCACGCTCTGGATGAAGTTGGGCAGGTAGTTGCGCTGGCCCTCGAAGAGGCCGGTGGGCCGCCGCAGTCCCCCGCCGCCGGCCGGCCGCTGGTCCTCGTAGGGCACGGTGGGCACCGTCAGCACCGGGATGGGGCTCCCCTCCATGGCGCCTCCTGGCCGGTCCTGCCGCGGCTCCCGGGAGCCCGAGGGAATCTGCAGCCCGCCGGGCTAGCCCCCCCCGCCCCCCCACCGGCTTGGCTGCGCGCCCGGGCTCCGCCTCGCGCCCCGGCCCCGGCCCCCTCCGCAGCCGGCCCGCGCCCTGCGCCCTCCCGCGGCACCAACAGTCCTCCCTCTCCGCGTCGCCCAGCAGAGTTCGGCCTCTACCTTCCCAGAAAGTTTGCTCCCGTCCAAATCCCTCTCCAGCCGGATGGCGCGAGGCGCCGGCAGGATCTGGGCCCCAGCTGGACTCACTTTCGGGGTGTCCCAGAGCCCGCTCCCAGGGCCGGCTAGCCCGACCCCGGCGACCCTGCTCGCGCGCCTGGCCCCAGCCTTCCCCAGCGATCGCTTCTCTCCGGGAGCACACCCCCGGCTAGAAAACAGCCCGGAGGGTGGGGTGGTGAGAGCTTGAGCAGGATTTGTGGACCTCTCCCAGACCCCCACTCCCTCTCCCCTCCCACCGCAGCCCTGTCTCCGGGTCTCCCTGCAAGTGAGCCGTTAACAAGCCCAAGTTTCTCTTTTGAACAAGGACGAGGGAGGGAGTTGGGAGGGGGCTGAAACTTTTGCCACCAGCGAACAGCCCCGGCCAAAAATAACCCTGGAAAGGCGAACTGAGAATTGTTATCTTCTGCCAGTGCTGAAATTGGAGGCTGAGCGTTGCATGTGTGTCTGTGTGTGTGAGTACACACCCCACCACTACCATTTGTTGCAGGGAATCACAGACTGTCAGGCCCTTCAATCCAGCAGGACCCATCCAACCATCCACACTTTTCCCTGGGCTCTCTCAAGGCAGCGAGATCTGCAGCGTGGAAACTTTTCTTCCCCTGTTTGTTGTGGTGGTTGCAACAACAGCAACACAGACAGTATTTCTTTATTCTTCTTACTCCTCTCACCCTCCCTAGCCCAGCTCATGCTTAGAAACAGGCTGGCCCCACACTGTATTTGTCCACACTGCAGAGCTCCTACCCGGATCAATCATTTTCAATAGAAAGGTAAAGCCCTTGTTTAATGAATGAATAAACTCAAATTCAACAAGGACAGGGTACCAGGAACTCTTTCGCGTCCCTTACATGCGTCTTATCCTGCAGGGGCTAGGGATGTTCTGCCTTGTCTGCATAAAGTCCACCTAAAACCCAAAACCAAGAAATATTCCATAGAAAACAGAAGTGAAGAGAGAATGCATCAAAAGGATAAAATCCAAAGAGGAAAGAAACAACTGTTGTTTTTTTGTTTCTATCACCTTTCACCCTCCAAGCATTTTTGCACCCACTAAGGCAACTGTCCTGAAATCTCTTGCTTCTTCTCCTCCCCCCAATACCCTCCACTGGCTGGGACCAAACTTGACTTGCTGCAGGGTTAGAAAGTGTTTGATCACAGTAAGATGAATGTGAATAGGAGCTCACACTTACATGCTGTTTTGCAGTTGACAAAAGGCTTTGCATCTGTTTTCTCTTTGGAGACTCAAAACAAAAGAAGAAGGAATGGCATTCATATCATTCCCATTTTACAGATGAGAAAAGGGAGGCTTTCTGGGAGATCAAGGGAGTGGGTGAGATGGCATTTGCAGTCAGTCCGAATTCTTGTTTTTATTAATATCATTGAAGTGTGATGGGGAAACCACTGAAGCCACCAACAGAATCCTGTTGGGACTATTTAGCTATCCTCTTAAACACCAAAGTTGGGTTGTCATTGTGGTTTTTTTTAATATATTTTTGTTTTTGCTTTTACCTCCACTTTCTCCTTGGACCCTCAAGAGCCCATTCCCCTGTAGCAACCAACAGAACCTCAACACTTCTAAGGATCTGTGTATATCCCTATGGCGCAGGGGTTTTTAAATCACTGTCTAATAACATTTTCTTTTGCAAGGAAGGGAAGTATCATCCCCAGAAGAGAAGGTAGTAAATCCCCTGCTCCAGTAAAGAAGAGAAGGACTCAGCCTCCAAGCCTCAGAGGTGACCAGAAGATCTACTCTTCCATCTCTCCACCTCCAACATTGTTTCTCCTACCAAAGCCCAGCCCCTTCCACAGGGCTAAGAACAAGGCATGCACATCTCAGACAAGCTTTTACAGTTTTACCAGCCAAGAGGAAAACCTCTTCCCTTGGTTCTGATCCCCATATTCCCAAAGACTCTGGTCCAGCTCAAGGCAATGTGCCCCACCACATAGCCAGACCCCACAGTGTCTTTCGGAGTTACTCCAAAGTAAGCGGGTGTTGTTCCCCAGAGGGAGGAGAGATGGGTGAGCACCATAATTGCCCACCACGTAAGTGACACTTGCACCTATCAAGTCTTTCAAAACATATTGTTCTTTTTGCTAAAGTCATACAGCACTTTGCATCACTGATAAGGAATGCTTCACAGGCTTCTCTCCTCCAGCTGTATGTGACCTTGGAATAATTCCTTAACCTCTCCTCACCTGATATCCTCACTGCGAAATAAGAATCATTATCATCCTCACCTCACTGGTTGTTGGGAGGATTAAAGTACTTGGTATATAGCGTCTGACAAACAGGCATTTGATAAATGTTAGACGTTCATAGTATCGCCATCCATATCATACTTATCCTTATTATTAATGTCCTCTCCCTCAAGGAGTAATTTACATCTTTGTAGACCACCACTTGTATGGCAAGGGTCTTTGGGAATAGGCGATATTCTATACACATTGGTTGAATTAATCTGTGGTTTTTGACAATGTTAATTCAAGATATAGAGTAAATTTACCCTTGAAACGTACAAAAAAGAGTTTATGAACTAAAGAAACCTCTTCAAAGCTGTCCTCAAAGTTGGTCAAGTTAGTTCCAATAACTGTGTTACGGTGATGGAGAAAGGAACCTGAGAGGGCCCCCCAGAAGAAATGCCTTGTCCTTAGCTGCTCACCGGTAAAATGAGAAGGTCGGATTAGATCAGTGTTTCCCAAAGGGCTTTCCTCAGAACATGACTGCCTCCCACATGCCGCACAAAGCAAGAGCTACATGGTCAAGCAACTTAAAAATCCTACACACTCTACCTCATTCTTCGAGCATTACAATGCACATTTTCATACTAAAAGCTCTGAGAGTTTTTAAACTGGTGCTTCTCTGCCTAAACTCACATGCCCAGTTTGTCTAGGCAAAGACTCAGGTTAGCTTTGTGACTATAGCCTGGTGACAGCCCCCTTTCCCCCTTCAAGTGTCCCCAGGGGGCTAGGGCGGGGATAAATACATTTTCCTGATTTTAAGGGGCCGGTCACCCCTTTGTGCTGTGTTCACACTTCTCTGCAGTGTGGCTCACAATGAAGGGGAGCCCTTTTTGCCGAGGTGCCTCTCAGCCTTCTCTGAGCCTCTAGGGAAAGGCATTTCACTGAGAATTCCTGGTACATAACAGGAGCAACTGATCTATCCTTCTTTCCCCTTGGGACTTCCTTGCTCTGGAGAAGGTGTCAGCCGCCATCTTGAGAGAGGCTACACTAGCTGCCTCAGCCAGACCTGCATTTCCCACAAAAAGAATTTGGGGGGAAGCCTGCATTTCCCACAAAAAGAATTTGGGGGGAGGGTCAAATAAGTGTTGTAGATTCACAAGGCACATTAGCATATTAAAGACCGTGAAGTTCCACAGAAAAGAAACCTATTTAACTTTAACCTAGCATTTCCACATCTTACCTGACCATGGTAAAGTAAGGTCTTTTGCAAAACACCTATTAACACATCAAAGACATGAATATTCCATGAAACACTTTAGATCTCTGGGGTCCCTTCCAGCTACATCATTCTATAATTTCCTTTTTCACTTGTGAGGCATTAAAAGATTAATTTCTCTCAGGCTTCCATGTATGAACTTATCAGAACGTGCCAAGGGGAACAGGTTGAATCGCCCAATTAAAAAAAAATACCCTTGAGCGATTTTGAGACTTAAAATGAATTAAATATATTTATAGATAATTTTATTTTATATGTTCTGTTCTTCCATACACCCCCCACACACACACACACACACACGCCACCATTCCTCACCCACTGCTGGCAGGAAAGACTAGCACGCATATTTGGCCCATGGTAATTACACACCCCTGTTCAGTCAGGGTCCACGTCTGTGCACACAGGCAGTGCTAAAAACAGGCCGTTGACTCACTGACGCTAAGAGCAGAAGAAATTCCAAAAGTACAGGACAAGAAGCAGAAAAGCAGGTAGAAAATCTCCCGGGTGGACATCTTGGATGTACTCTTTTTAATCCGCCCCAATAGCTTCTGGTCATGGGGAAAGTCAATTACTTATTTCTCCTAAAACACACCGCCTTCTGTTCCCCTTGATGAAATAACATATCACAATTGAAATGAAATAACAAATGAAATAACATATCACAATTCCAACAGAACTTGCTGCTTCTCTACCTCCCTCACTAGAAGGCCACTGAGTGAATGTTCAAGTGATGGAAAGGAACACATATTGCATGTGTATCTTGCAATCGTTTGTGAACTGATCTCTATGTTCTTGTGTGTCAGGCTTCAAAACTCTGTTTCCCACCTTCATCAGTGACTGCCTGTGTGGCCTTGGACAAGATGCTTACCCTCCCTAAAGCTCAGTTTCTGCATCTGGAAAATGAACATAACGTCACCTATCTCCCATGGTTGATAATCATATTCAGAGAGCTAATACGTGCAGATTGCTTAGCATGGAGCCTGGAACGTAATTATTGTTATTATTATTAAATATTACCATTAAATAATTATTAAAATAGTACTAACATAATTCCTATTACTATAATAATGATGATTCTGAATCTTTGTATCAGACAGGATTGCCTTTGACGGCGGCCATAGATTATGGCTAATTAACCTTTTCATCCCAATATCCAGCAAGCCATCACTTGCAAATTAGTGAACTCCTATTAAAGATGAAAAAAAATTATTTTAACTGACCCTTAAGTGTTTTGTAAGCAACCGCGCAAAAAGAGCCATCAGCCTAATACGTGGACTCTTCAGTTCTCCCTAGTTTGGTTTTGGAGGTAGCCACGGGAAGCCCAGGAATACAGTAGTGCTGTTAGAAATCCCCTGAGGCCCAAATGAGAAGTTGACGGAAAACTCTTACAGGTGTGATTTCCTGACTATGGTGTGCTCTGGCCCCAACTCTGAAAAGCATTTAATGTTCATTGACTAACTTGTAAAAATTGT